ATCAAACCTGCAGCAATATTACACAGTCCATGTTAAAAATGGGCATCTGGCAAAGCAAGCCTGGGCATAGATCCATCCTTACCCCAGCAATTCTTTCTTATTAAACTGAATTTAGCCACTGTAAAACATTGCAGTACCTAAATGTAATTTGCCAGCATGAAACCAAGTAAAATAATTTACCACACAGCGCTCTCAGACTCACCAAGTGTAAATAATCTGCCGACTCCAACACCCGCTGCCTCTCAGTGGTTAATCTACCATCAGATAATTCAGATACAAACTTCTCTGGCAGAATTAGGCTTTGTATAAACAAAACACAAGAGTAAAACTTAAATTATCTCAATGTTTAAACAGCATGGATTGCATTACTGATAACTCGTACATGTTATTGTCCGAGTACTAAGCTAATGCTATCACTTTCCTTTCTCTTTTTCTCACTTTGACTCAATCTCCACTTGTCACAATTGTGTTCAGATTGATGATGGAACGAGATTTAAGAATTAACGATGTAGCTGTTGGTTTGGGACAATTTTTAAAAGAGAAAAAAAAAACCATAGTCCTGTGTCAGTTAAAAAAGCAGATTAAAAATGATCTCTTAATCTCCCTTGGGTCCTAGACACTGGTGGTGGCGCTATTGAGCCCAAAGTTGTCCTGTAGGAGACATCTTTAGAAACTAATTGATGTTGAGCAGCTTTTTTTCCCCTGTCCGCTTGACTTAAAGGGTGGCACAGACCCTGGGTGGAGGCAGCCTGGATGGAAAAGGTGAGGCAGTGGCTGCAGAGGACATGTCTTACACTCGTTAGATATCTGCATGAGTTTGTGTAGATCGAAGAGTTGATCCTTGTGCTATCCTCGGGTCAACTTGACCTGTCACAAACAGGTGTGATTCAAAAACATATTATTTTTTCGAGCTGAATTTTTATGATTACAACTTGACCAGCCCTGAGTAATCTAGACCCCAAGTTACAACCCGTACACACTGCATGTGTCATGTGAACTGGAGAGACTTGCACATTGGGACTAATTTGAAAAGAGTGCCGTTATCAGTGTTGGGCAAGTTGCTTCAAAAATGTAATGTCACACCTTGTGACAATGTCAGACAGTCAACATTCAAGATAGGGCTGGGCGATTAATCGATTTTAATCATTAATTCGAGTTTTACGTTTAGAGCGATTTCTTTTTTTTAAAATTCGATTTTTATTTTCTCCAGCGCAGAACTACAGCGCTAACGCGCTAACCGCGGGTCTATGGTGTTGAGCAGTCATTTTGAAGCTAACCTAATGCTAACAGTCTCCCTCTGGCCTGATGCTCGCTCTCACAGTTGGTGCTGTTGCAATAACACTTCAAACGTTCAAGAATCAAACTTTATTTAAATCGCCAGAACACACACACACACGCACGCAGGCTCCGGTCGCTATGTTCGTACGCCACATCTTTCACGCTCTCTCACGCTCGTTATTCCAAAGCGCACTCCCGTGTCCGTGGCGCGCACGCACTCGTGTCCCACTGAGCCGCTGCACTTTGGGGAAAGACACGTCTCACACATTGCTCTCATTGCTCTGATACAAACACCGTGTTCCCCGCTGTCTGTTAGCTACAGTAGCTGCTACAGTAGCTGTTAGCTACAGCATCAGAATGTAAACAGGAAGCTCGCACAATGCGGGAGTCACTGAAGTTAGTATTAGCGCCACCAGCTGGACCGAGCGTTGTACTACAGCACAGTTACTCAGGCACAGTTGAAAGAACAAGCATGAAAACCCGAGGAGGCTTTTGGAAAAGACTGTATGTTACAACATTTCTATTTTGAGTAATCAGTTTTAAAAATGTGATATTTCATGTAAATAATGCATGTGTTTAATAGGATTGATATATTTGCGATGGGCCTTGTTTGTGTGATTTAAGTTATTTTGAAGGTGCATAGTGTCATTGTAAGTGAAGTTATTATAAAACTGTTAAGCTACATTTTCACTGTTTACAATGGCAGAGCCATCTCGTTTACAAGCATGTTTTAAGGCTTAATTCCTGTTACACTTATGCTCCATGGGGATTTAGATTAAACTGCATAAAGGAAAATCTATTTCTTTGTCAGTTGTAGTTTGTTTTTAAATAGAAAAAAATAAATCGATTAAAATCGAAAATCGGATTTGGTGTGAAAAAATCTGAGATTTTTTTTTTTTGCCATATCGCCCAGCCCTAATGCAAGACATCGGAACAAAATGGCATACCACACACAGGCTGGCAGCCCAGAACAGGTGTGTTTGTGGCCTTAAAGGAGCTATACCCGTTTCTGCAAGGTTTTTTCATTTTGAATGTTTAGCACTGCCCTCAACTCGCTCAGGCTTCTCATTTCCCCAAGCTCTCTTTCCACGAAGCCATCCATCCATCCATCCATCCATTTTCTTCCCCTTAATCCATTTCTGGGTTGGGGGGGTGGTCAGAGATGCCACCCAGTACACAGAGCACCAGCCCCTCAATGATCCTCCTGCAGGTGGTGAGTCCACAGAAGCTGAGATCTTTCGGTGGGAGCTTCAGGCAAAGTGGGGTTAAGTGTCTTGCCTAAGGACACAACGACAGCAGTCATCAGTGGGAGTCGTGAAGTAGGTCTTACGGTGGGCTCAAACCCACAACCTTCAGGCTCAAAGGCCAATGCTCTACCAACTGAGCTACTGTCCACGAAGCCATCTAGTTTTATTTGCGATCTCATACGTATGCTAACCTTAGCATGAGCACAACTTCTTGTAAGCTGTACAACAATCATTGATTAAATGGTACAAATTACACGTTGGTTTTTTGGAGAAAATTAGATGTTTTTTAATGAATCGGAATGGCAGATTATTTTCTGTTGTCATAGCCGCAGGAAAGTCCAGGTAAATTAAGCCTTTTATATATCTTGTTGTACTTAAACATTTACTTTCCTTCTCGCTGAAATGTCACTGCCTGATTAAAAAGAGTCGTGTAATGAGTGTCTGAGTTCATGACATTTAAATTCCACTATTATAATTCTACTCCACTAAGCTCATGCACGTACTGTGAATTCTCTGATGAAGTGGAAATATTTGCTGCATTTCAAATACTTCCCTGATTACATCCAAACTTCGGAGAACTCTTGACGCTCTGATGAGCCAATAATAATATCAAATCTCAAAATACCAAAAGTGCCAGTGCTCAGCCAAACAGAAAATGGGCCATCACGATCATGAACAGGCATCTCTGCTGTCTCTGAAGTGTTACAAATTCAATTCTAGTCATTAATTTTCACGATTGGTGGTGAAACACAATTTGAGACCTAACAATTCAAGGACTAATCCCTTTGCACTCATAGGACATGAATCATAGTAGCAGCAGAAAGAATAAATGAGACAGTTGTAAAAAGGTACTAATTCCCTGTATTACTTGCAGCTTACATCCTCTCCCATAGCTTTCTACCCTGGGATAGCAAGTTCTTCAAGCCTCTCTGAGTAATTATTTTTGGCCTGTGTGGGAGGAGAAGTGGTTATCGCTCAGATCTGTTGAATTAAAAAAATAAAACATGGATAAAAAACGAGACCATGTGCACTTTGAATGTTACTGTCAGACCTATAAAAGGCTTTCACATAAACTATGAGGCACAATTCAATATGTGAGGCACATTTAAGAAATATCATTCAAATAATGATCCTTGTTAAATTAAAGGTGCAATTTGTATTTCTGGTGGAGGTAAAACGTTTAGTTATTTACATCTTGACAAACACTTATGGATGATAAAATGGAAATGTTTCCTCAATATCTAAGCAATAGAGATGGATAGTGGAAGCCTGCTAGCTTGATGAATCCTCTTTCTCTGTAGACACTTCTGTCACATCACTCATCATTTAAACACTCTCTACATGGTCTTGATTATTTTCCTTTTATATTCAGAATTTGGCTTTTTCTAACCAATGGCAAAATGAAATAAGGTAAACAATGCAGTCTGGCTCCAGATTTGTTCTTTGGTTGCTAAGAAGTTTCACAATTTTACGGTCTATGGACTCAGGACCACTAAAATAAACATATTAATAATTATTAGACAGGATTATTAAACACACCTTGTTCATTCTTGAATTTAAGCTGCAGGTTTTAATCTGGTAATGTAGCAAATAGGTGACTGTTTAACTGATCACAACATGATTTAATGATGTCAACTTGAGTTCTTTAAACTCTGCTCTGAAAACTGTACCACAGTAAACATTCACATGTAGCCACATCACTATAGGAGCTGCATGGTTAAATGAACCAGAAATTATTAGTGGCTTGTTGTAGGGCTGGGCAATAAATCGAATTTTGGCAATTAATCGGCTTTAAAAAAAAAATCGAATTTGTGAAAAATGTGAAAATCGTGAAATCGAATGAAGCATATTGTGAGAATTACAGCAGCACATGAATTATACTTGCAATATCAGGACAGTCTGTACTAGACTTTTATAATACCTATTGGGGAAACAAATTAAAAATACTTTTGAAACTTGAATATTGAGCTGAAAGATCAAAACATATTTTTAAAGGCAAAGTCTGTCTTTGTTGACTTTAATGAAAATCGATTTAAAATCAAAATCGTCCAAAGCAGGAAATAAAATCGAGATTTTACTTTTTTGCCATATCGCCCAGCCCTAGCTTGTAGTCTGTAAATGATGATACATACATATTTGTAAGAAGTGAAATGTTGAGACACAAGAAGTGATGGCCTAACATTTTAGCTACTTTGGTGCTTAAATATTTTCCAATGTTCAATAATGCAGTGACAGGCAAAGAAACAACATATCCAATGGCAGCTATCATCCTCTAGAAACGTTGAAAACGACTTTGCATTTTGTACATATAGGGGATTCTTGTGCAGTGCGGCAGCCTCAGAAGCCCGGCACACATTTCTCTTGTCACATAATCCTTTCTTTGGCTGCTTTTGTCCAGCACATTGACTATATTTTATGCTGAGAAATTGTGCTTTTCTCCCCACAGGAGTAAGAGAGGAAGCTATGGACTGGAGGATGAGTCTGAGAGATGACTTTGGGGTCAATGCTTGGACGGAGCGTGCCGGGATCTCTCTGGGCTTCCTGCTCCTTTTGGCCCTGTTTTCCACCCCCATCCAGGCGGACATGGTGCTTCCCAGAGACCACCAGTTTTCATGGAAAGCAGGTAACTTCAATGTTTCTTTGATTCATTATGTTAGATTTTGCGGTTGCAGTTGGATTTGTCTTGTTTTGCACTTAATGGCAATTGAACGTTGATTTTCTGAAGTCCCAAGCCAACACGCTACAATAGGTATACCTCGGTCGCCATGGATACGCTTTGATGCAATGCTGATTCATTCAACACAACGAATCTCATTGGACATTTGAGAAGCAAGCATGAGGCGTTGTACACAGTGATGGGCAGTACATTTTGACCGTAGCGTCGCTTTTTACAAAACCAAGAAACCTTTCTATTTTCTGACATTTCTGATGTGCGTACATTACCGCGTTTCTTGCAGCCACAACACAACACGAGGAAGAATGTATATTCATGTATTGCTTCACCTCCGCCTCTCCTGCACACAGCGCTCAGACGGAAACCTTTGACCAATAATTATTTTTCCTTTTTTTTAACTAAAATATTCATCACTACAGTCGCATCGAATTGCAGTTTGTGTAATTGAAAGTAACTACTATATTTCAAGCTACTTTTGACAGGATTTTGTTCCTTGCTACATGCTTTTGTGTAGTAAAGCTGAATTTATTGTAGTGTTGCTTGTAGCTTACCTCACTACACAAATGTACAGTAACTGCATGCAAGCTGAAGAAATACGGGAAATGTAATCTTATTTTTTCGTTGCTTTTTACATTATATCAAGAATACCGTTGTTCTAGTCTTCATTCTTTGTCTTTTCCAAGCTCGATTTCTATTTTCTAATTTACTATTTGCTCCAACATTCCGAAACCTTCTATGTTTTACCTTATTTAATTTCGCATGGCGCTTTGCACATGCACACATTGGTAGCCATTAGCACTACTCATTACAGGGTACACAAAAGTAAACTCATTAGCATAGGGCGGTTACGGTTTGACATTGTTAAACATGTGTTGCTGTTGTTGCGAATGCCAATGAAGATGGTGGAATGATGTCTATGTGATTGACAACTTGTGCCTGGAAGTGTGTTGGGCACATGTTTAGCACCTTTTTTTTAATCAAACGGGTGTGAAGAACAGTATCATGTCTGGAAGTGTTGGTGGCCAGAGGCTTCTTTCAATTTAAAGATATGGACTTCAGTTATTAAATTAGCATGTCAATAATTTATCCACAACCAGTGATTTGTACTTTCTGTTTTTATTGCAAGTTTTAGCTATATATTTTAATAACACAAATACATTTTCAGCACATTTTGAGGATTTTTCTCCAACTCAAAATATATTATTATGTTAAAATGGTGTTTGTCACTCTACAAACAGTCCTCACATTTCCATCACCTAGAAACCTACAGATAGAAGAAAGTATTCTATATGAAGAAGATGGTGACAGTTCTTTCATTGCTCATTTGCCCTTTTCACCACTGAGAACCGTGAAACGTTCCCCCATTCTCTCATTGCGAAAAATACTCTGCTAACATCATGCCCTGACCATCGCTAATATTATGTCGCTTGACTTGTGTCATGACTGTAACAACATAAATATCAGCTGCTCTTCCTTTTACTGCTTTTGTAGTTGGTTCTATATGTACTACCATAGATATTTTGTGAGTGAATATGCATGAGACTGAGCTGAGCAGAAACCCAATGTTATACGCCAGTCTGGTAGAGAGGGAATTTGAGGTAATCTCACGATTCATCCTTCACTTGCCTCACAAATTCAATTGAAATGCATTTCCAGAGCAGCTTGAGGAGAGAAAACTGGAGCCTACCCATACAAAAGCCCGTCTTGCTGCGCGATTAGCACTTTCATTTCTCACTCTGTGGTCGAGTAATGACACTGCCCAAGTGATAAAAAGATTGATTAATTTCACTTGAAAGCGCATATGTTCGAAAGGGGCGCCTGGTCTGGGGATTTGACATACTTGGGGGAGCTAAAATGCTTTATGGGCTGTTGGTTAAAGGAAAATGGAAATGTTTTTGAAAGAGAAAAGCCAATAGGTGGATCACTCCTGGACAAATCCTCTAGACTTGTATTAACAACATTGCAGTGTGAGTTCCTCTTCACAAGTTTATGTATAAGCTTAATCATATTTTTATTTCTGGGTATCATTTGAGACTTGAATTTCTATCCTATTATAATTGCCAAACTCTATTGTGCCATGACAAAGATTCAAACAAAACTGCACACAAGAAACCCCAAAATGACCAGATAAGATAGTCTTTTACAAGGCAGGTTTTATATATTTTTAAAGACATGATTGCATTTTTTGGTAGGTTTAATCTAGCTACTTTTCATTTTGAATCAGCTCCATCGCACGAGTGTCATGCATAAAATATTTGAACACTTGATTTGGCGCTGTGTCAATTTGGGCTTGTCAACGCATAAGGAAGATGTGCTTTAAATTATGCACTGCCGCCCCATTGTGCTCTCTCATAGTGTGTCTATCTAGGCCAGCAGCTTTTGTGGGCTAAATCTTTTGTGCGCGCCTCTTTTCCTGGATCCTGGCTAAGCTGGAAGTCTTTGGCGGCAACACAGACACACAGGCATTTAAGCTCGACCTTCATCAGTGTCTTCGAGAACTAAATGGAGAGCTACTGAGTCTCAGTGGCTAAATGGGCTGGCTGATCTACTTTGACGAGAAGATGGCTTTCTCTTTAAAAAGAAGATACTTAGCCTGTAATGATGGCTTCACTCTTACCTTTCGCCAGATAATGGCGCTCGTACATTACACTAAATGCAAGGTTTCCAAGGAGATTGACTGCTATTAAGCATGACAACCTATTTCATCATGTAAAATGTCCTTCTCATGTTTGTAAAAAAATGGAACCCTATGACCACAACTATTGACTACAACATGCATGTTTCTTGTCAATAGAATAGTTATAAGGAGGTTCTGTTGCTCCAGGCATTTTCCAGCTCAGACATTCTCCTTTTCATCTTGATATTGCTGTTTTACTCAATACCCTGACAAGACGCCTAGACTTCCCTATCCACACACACTTTCTCAAGCTCAGTAGGGGAAAACCCAAGGCTTTCCCAGGCCAGCTGAGAAACATTTTCCCCCTAGTGTACCATTGGTCTTCCCCAGGGTTTCCTCCCTGAACTTCTCCACTTGAGGAAGGACCTCACCAGGTGACCTTTTTCTGGTGATTTTGGAGTTAAAGCATTAGGCCCCAAACATGAAAAAAATAACATTGTTTTGGCACCTGATGAACACTTAACTCATGTGACGACACTTCAAAGACTCACAATGATACATATTTTATTTTTTCACCACAAAAATATGTTTTTGTTTTTTTAATCATAACCAGGAAAGAAGGGTGGATGGCCTGGCATTAATATACTAATATTTTTTGTGTGGGAAAAAGACTGTATTGTTTATTTGTAGCTGCAACAGCCTAAGTTTACCCAAATATCACATTACAATTGATCAAGAAATCTACTACATTCTCTCATTCACGAGAGTTACCTAGCTTCTCCATGTAGTATTATCAAATTACAGGCAGGGAATTGCTATAGAGGCTGATCTACAGGATGAGGTCTTTTAACACAGAGTATGACATAGTGCTGACTGGTGCAGCTCAGCCGTGGTGATTTGCATACGCTGCCTCTTTTATGTCATTGTTTTACATTGCCTGCACAGCTGTAGAGAGCCCATAACCCATTTATATGTCACCGTAATTGATTTCAAGAGATAATGGCACATAAGTAAATGCTTGCATGCTGTGGACCGAGCCAAACATCACCATTTGTCTTAATTAATTGTGTTGTAGATTGTGTTTAGAGAAAGCCTTGAGACTTCCATGCTGTGCAGTAAATGCTAGAGCAAAATTCTGTCCAAGCAAAAAAAAAAAAAACAGAACTTGGCCGTTGTTGGGTAATAAAGGGTAATGAAGCATAACATCTACCTGGCCAGTTTTTGTGTTCGGTCGAGTGCTCTTGTGTTCAATTTGAGTTTTTGTACAGCAGAAAAGTATCAAACTATCTTGGAATGTAGATTATCAACCAACAACAAACAAGCTGAATAGAAACCACCAGTAGCTTTCTTCTACATTGTTACAAAAAGATACTTGATAATTTCATAGAATAAGATAGAGAGACAGTTTTCTTGCCAAACAAGGTTATGCTGCAATGTATTAGCTATTTCTGGTTTGTGCCTTTCTGTGTAATGTTTATAAAAGACAAGAAAGAAAAACTTGCCCTGTTTACAATTGCAGCTCAGTGACAACAACAGTTTTATTCTGAAAATGAAGGATACAAAAAATAGTAGAGCACTTGTAAAATGCAAACACGTGCATTCCTTAAAAGAAATCCTGTATCCAGATGTCCAATATCTATACCTCCCATTACCTTTTTAAAATAATGTGTGTTACTCAAAATTAAACAAAGAAACAAAGAGGGGCAAAAAGACAAACAAACAAACGGTAGTGATCACTTTACCTCCTAGGCAGAGGTAAAAAATACTCATTCTTCTTTTTTGTATATGAAAACTGTATTCAAATTGCTTTTATGAATGATCTTGTCCTGTTTCCAAACACATGACATAGGTCTGAGTGTTGTGACTGAGATCTACAAGTTAAACCTTAAAATAAGCCATATAAGATAATGTATACAAGATACATCTGAAATTCCCATGTTTCATTCTTATATGATGTTTTTCTCATCCTCCATGAAGACTTTGCCTGTTGGGTATGTTTTACATCAATAAGCATTTCAAAACAAACAATGCACAATGGGCTCGCAGCAGTCGTGAGGGAGCGCATGCTTTTCTATACACCTGAATGACAGACCAAAAGGAACACTCTTGAGGCCAATTCTTTAAACGTACATCTTGTCTCTTACCAATGTCAGATTCTCGTGTCTTCCTCCAGGGATATTTTGCCCGTGAAGAAAACTTAATTTCAGTCTGATTGTACCCCAAAAAAAACCCCATTGCGTTCCATTGTATGTTCTGGTAACAAAAACAAAAGCCTTATTTCCCCACACAAATATCCCAGATGGGGCTACAATGTTTATCAAATCATCTTTAA